ATCTTTTTTCATTTCAAACGTCGACTCACAATAGCGACACACGTGTCGTCTGTTGACCTTCAGAGCATGAGCCCTGGTAATATGATGATTTAATTGGTTGAATCCAGGAAAACCACGTTCTCCGCAAACAGGACAGGAGATAATCTGACTGCCTTCGTGTGCCTTAACGTGGGCTTTTAACGAAGCAACGTCGCTCACGTAGGCATTACAAGGAAGACAGCGGAATTTAGTCTGGAGAGTTCTGACGATTCGACAACTCCTAGTGTGTTTGTTAAGATTATAAATGCTATCGAATGTGACAGCGCATCCAAGGCATTCAAGGGCCAACTAAGACAGGTAATGTATAAAGCGAGAAACCTACTTGAGAAGAAGCCATCATAGCAAAGTGTTCACGTAATTCATGTTCGCGAGTCCGCAGATGAGCCAAATATATATCATAGGAAGAAAACGCCTTGTTACAGGTGTCACAGCGAAAAATCTTATCTTTGTGTATATGTCGATTTCTATGTGTTTTCATATTTGCCTTCTGGGCAAATCTTTTACTACAGACGTCGCAAACATAGGGTTTCTCCCCAGTGTGCGCTCGTTTGTGATGTTCCATAGTACCACCATTATTTGTCATATAATTGCATTGGTCGCAATGAAACTTGTAGTTAGCGGGATTGCGTTTAGGCTTTTTAGGATCAACATGGCTACGACGAGCATGCAAAAATAGCTGACTTAACGTCTCGAAGAATTCTTCGCACTGCCGGCAAGTATAAACCTTGACAAAATGCTTTTCGCGCATATGCTTAGTGAAAGCATTTGCATTAGCATACATTGCAGGACATGATGGACAACGATAGGTTATACCAGACCCAGGTCCTCCAGGAAGAGTTACAAAGCCCCCGTTTCCGGCAACGAGGGAACCGTCAAAATAAGCTTTGGTATTTGGATCAAGTAGGTGCATTTGGTCAGCAGATAATTCTATCACTTGGGCCCCATCTATCATATTAGGATCCGTGAACTACATTTGATTCGTCAATAATTACTAGTTTACTTGAAGATATTCAGCGCCATTTTCCCCAGTAACGGTAGTGACAGCACCAGATGCTATCAAGCTTTCAAGAGTTGCCATGTCTAAATTCTCGTCAGCCGCAATGACAACCATTTCTTCTTCATCGTTTGCAATCCCCAGGTCATTTAAATTAAGAATTGCTTGGTTTACATCTCCAGCAGCACTTAAGGGAATAGCTGAGTATGTGCCATCTGGATTGGCAATATAAGCTTGAGCTTCGTCTCCATCGCTAATTATGCTTGTTGCCATTGCTAGTATTGGCAATTAAACTAGATTAAATAGACGATGCGGTTAATATACTCCAAGAACGATAATAAAATGGGTCTATATGATTAAAATGTGACAAGTGAGCATATTTGATGAACGCACAAACATAAGGTGCAGATATAAACAAGGAGAATTGAGCAGTAAAACAATGGAGGTACGAGTTCAAAACGAGGACTACAGGGAAGCAATATGGAGGCTAAGGGGCGGAGGCGTATTATATAGGATTATCACAAGACATGTGAAATGACATAGATAAACAAATTCTAAAAA